CCTCTTCACTCCAACCGTCCTTCTGTGTTATTATTATTATTATATAATAAACATTATGATATGAAATTAGTAAACTTTTATTCTAACCATAACAAGATCATCTAAAATATGTCAATGCGCATGATTGTTGCATGCACGGAAACGCGGGATGCATAAGAAAGGCTTAGAGAGTTTTCGAATAGTTTTTAAAAATGGAAACATATTCTTTCTCACGCGAATCTGTGAGTCATAGATGAGCACACAAGGCACTTAACAAATAGTACTACGTAAATGAATATTTATATTTAATGCTAGTACTTTTTATATTTATATTCATTCGCTAATCATTCGATATCATCGAATTTGAGTAGTATATAAAATATGTTGTTAGAGAGAGTTGAACTCATGACATCTCATTTTGTATTAGGACTACAACCGTTGGACTACAATGTTGAGTTGTTACTTTTGCCCATTTAATTGTATTTAACATATATATAATTGAAGTTCTGGAATTTACTAGTTTAATCGTGTATTACTCATTCCAAAATATATTATTTATTTCTCAAATAATTAAAGAATATAATAAAATTCTAATTTAGATGTTCAATTAAAAAATAAAAACCCAAGTAAAAATTATGATTAAAAACTTAATTTGTGATATGTAATTAAAAATAATTTATAATTACTCAACACTAAAATTATTAAAAAATATCATATTCTTAACTAAAAAAACGTTGTAAAGTGTATCTAGGAAAATAATTTATTTATTTAATATAAATAAATAAATAATTACTCCGTATAAATTAATTTATTTAATTTATTTATTAATAAGTTTTTTAGTTAAGTATTTATTTATTTGTTTATTCATTTTCATGTATAAATATATTTTATCAAAATTTAAAAATAATTTTTTATCTCAAATTTGGGCATCTTATGTGAACTCGAACACATAAAAATTAATTTGTGGAATTTGAACCGAACTCAAGCCTTACTCGAATTGAGCCTGAGCTCAGTTGAGATGATATAAAGACTTTTTCCTAGATAAACTTTTAAACAAATTTAAGTTAAAAATATAATATTTTTAATACTTTTAGTGTTGTGTTATTATAGTTATTATAAATTATTTTTTAATTACATATCTCAAATTAATCTTTTTATCATAATTTTTAAATGGGTTTTATTTTTCAATTGAAAATATAAAATTAAAATTGTATTGTATTCTTTGATTACTTTAGAAATAAATAATATATTTTCCAAAGGAATGGTTAAAACACGAGTAAACTAGTAAATTCAAGAACTTAAATTATATGTATGTTAAATACAATTAAATGGACAAAAATAAGAACTCAACATTGTAGTCCAACGATTTTACTACTAATACACAGTTAAGAGGTTGTGAGTTCAACTTTCTCTAGCAATGTACTCCCTCTGTCCCATAAAACTTGGCCAAATTTTCTTTTTTGGTCGTCCAAAAAAACTTTGTCATTTCCATTTAAAGTAAGGAATATGTGATTAAAGTTATTTCTCTCTCCTCTACACAAATTTCAACCACACATTTTTTAAGGTTGTGAGTATTGTTTATACTACACAAATGATAAAGGAAAAAGTTCATTAACAAAAGTACTCAAAACCTGGTCTTATGTGATATACTTTTAGGTTAACATGGTTAACGATAGTTGACTAATGCTAAATAACTCCTTTAATGATATCAATTTTAAAGAAATAATAGTATTAATATAAGATTGTCATTTACTTTAAAAAATACTACGTAGTAAATATATGAATAAAATTAAAAGACTAGGCAAAAGACATTTTTAGATTTCAGTGACTACACTATTAACTTTAATCAGGACTGAGTATAATTTTCTTTAGTTTTACACTTTACTGAGCCGTTATAGTTCTGAGTCATATTTTATGAATAAATTTTATTTCAGTAATATTTCAAGAAAAAACATTAAGTTGATTTTAATAACTGAGTTATATATTTATCTTGAACAAAAAATTCTATATTCAACTGAAAAAATTAAATCTATATATCATTGAATTGTTTTGTAAAATCATACTACTATACGTACGCATCTCTGTCTCCTTCGATATAAATAAAGGCAAACTTTAACTATTTCTACACTATGTGAATTCATGGAAATCATAAAAATCTGCAAGGAGATTAAAGATGGAATAACAAAAACTACCAGGACAAACATTCACAAAATCCACTTAAAGATTTGAATATGATAGAGCAGTAGATCCGATCCACCATAGAATGTGTATTTAGAAATTAAAAAAATCACAATAAATGATATGATGAGTAAAAGTAAAATAAAAAATCTACACACATAGATCAGATTAGCAGAAGTCAATGATAATTACTATAGTAATAATCCATTCAAATAACGTAAAGAAATTAAATGGGGAAACTAAAAACAAAACCTTAATATCGGGACGAAGATGGTTTTGCCACCGCTCCCGACATTGTTTGCCGACCCGGCCGACCATGTTCTCAGCAACTAATGACCATTTTCTCACTCCATGCTGCCTTACTAACTTGATCAAATTCCTTAATTCCGAGAAATAAATAAATAATTATAAATCACACAAAAATCCAAATATGCCATCATTAAAAAGAATAACACATTTTTTCGATTAAGCTATATTAAATAAATGATCCATCTTTTTTAGTCATCATGTCTATAATTCCTAAAGTATAGCAGCTTTTTTAGTTCCCATTTTAGGTATGTTTGGAATTGGAAAAGTTTTAGGCAAAAAATTGTGGTAAAGTAGATGGAAATAATATTTAATGGGAAATAAAATGTTGGATTCAAATTCAAAGATTTGTTTCAAATATAAAATTAAAATGGTAAAATAACTTTTAGCCATTTTTGCCATTTATAAACGTAGATCTATTTCAAATATTAAAATTTTCCATTTTTTCTCATCTATAATTAAAATGGGAAAAAGAAAAATATTTTTCCTATGATCTCAAAAATGGGTTAGGTTTTTTCTCTTTTATAAGTATGTATGAGTAACTACATTATATTTTTCGGGGTGAAAAAATTATACGGAGTACTACGTGATTAAAAAATTTAACTAGCTATATACGTCTATAGCATATATATACCTGTCTTCTTCATCAGTCCACTGACCTTTGATCAAAGGCTCAGAAGATTTGAACTTCCCTTTCTTTAGGGGCTTACCCAAACCGGCATTAGCCAAGGTCAGACTGGTTTCGTCTGTGGCGGCGCTCTCGGAGGAAAGAAACGCGCCGTCGTCAAAAAAGACTGAATCTTGAAAACCCGGCCAAGACATAACGGACGAGGAAGAAGACGAGGCATCATAGAAACTGTTTTCATGAAAAAAAGAAGATCTTTTATTTCCAATAACAACGTTTGGAACTTCTTGTTGCTTCTCTTGATGATGAGCCCACAAAAACCTGTCCAGAGCGTGGGCCGGAGATGATTGAAAATGGCGGTTGTTTTGGAAATGGGTATTTTTATTATATCCAAAAAAACCTCCTCCACCACCGCATCCGGCGCCTCTGCCGCCACCGCCGCTATAGTTTTTCATCTTCGGACACAATCACACAAATATAAGAATGAGGAATTAAGGTGGGGAAGATCAGAGGACAGTGAAGTGTAGTAGATGGAGTAAAATGGGGGAAGAAGGTGAGGCGAAGGCTTTCTTCGTCATATATTCTCCCAGCCTCTTTATTACTACTCCATTATTTTTTATTATTACTATATCATTACTATTGTAATTAAGCTGCCCTGGGAGGAATTAAATGGAGTGATATTTATGGATGGAGAGCTAATGGCAAGGCTTGTAATATGCCATCAGTTTCCAAAAGGAGTGCCGTTGATATATCAGAAATGATGTGGATCCGACGGCCTATTTTGAATGATTACCTAATGATATTAACTCATGTGTTTCCTCTTCACACTAATCTGCTAGGAATTATCAAGTATCAACATTAGTTAATTAAGGATATTTTTACTTTGACTGAAATTCACTGATCTGGTCTGGTCTGATAAAATGTTTGATCACTTTGTATTTTATTATACCCATGGAAGTATGTTCTGTTCTGTTTAAATCTGATCTAGTCTGATTTGTTTAAGTCTGATTTATCTGGTATGAGACTGAAAACAAGTAAGAGCATGCTAAGTTAACACACCACATACTTGTAATGAACAATTATACTTCATCCCTTACACGGTTCTTTGTTTCATCCCCTAGCTAATGCGCATTAGCTAGGGGGTGAAACAAAGAACCGTGTAAGGGATGAAGTATAATTGTTCATTACAAGTGTACATATTTCTCTAATGTAACATTAAAGATGTAACATATTTATAAAAGTGTTCATCGGCCTTTTTGTGATATAGGATAATTTTCTCTAATTGCATATATATTTAATACTCCCTCCGTCTTTATATTATCTTCACACTTTTCTTTTTCATTCGTCCCAAAATTATCTCATCTTTCTCTTTTTGGCAAACAATTTCGTGGTTCACAACAATTCTTACATATTCCTACACATTTTTCTCTACTTTGCACAACTCTTCATCACAAAACTCATTATCTTTCTTAATTTGTGTGCATTGTCAAAGGAGGAGACAATATAGGAACCGAGGGAGTACTTCATACTAGACATAGTACACGAGTGTTGCACTGGTTGTATTCTCATGTTATGAATATATAAGTAAAACTATACAAATTATAATCAACTTAATGATCTATAAATATTACCCACCTTCAATTAAATCTATATTGGTAAATGGTTAAATAATTTTATATTGTGCTTTAATAATTTCTGATGACTTACCATTATGTGTAAAAACCCTAAATATAGATTTACTTGAGTATTGATAATATTTATAGATAATTAAGTTAATTATAATTTGTATTGTTTTACTTTTATATTACATAACCCGTGCAACACACGTGTACTATGTCTAGTATTAAATGTATTTGCAATTAGACAAAACCCTCCTTTATCACTATATGGATGTGTGTATATTAACATGCAATTAATAATGAAATTCTAAATATCACATTGAATAATATGAAATAATTACACTGTATCATAATATGAAATTCAACATGAATAAAAACAAACACAAAAACAGAAAGATAACTCTATAGATCGGCTCATCGACCCAACAAATTAAACATCCATTTTCCTTACAACTTCTTCTCCTCGGCATTATTGGAATTGCTCCCATGAGATGAACGAGAAGATGAAAAGATCATCTCCATTAGATCCATATCCCCCTTCTTTGATCCACTAGAATGTATATAACACTTACTGTCATAAGGATAATAAGGTAATTCTCCCCCACTCATCGTCGTGAACTGATCGGCGGCCTCTATCGGTGTGTCCGTCACCCCTCCAATGCTGCAACCCAAGAGGCATGAGATATACCAATCGCTCGACGGATAATAGCTAACTTGCGCCGGCGGCGGCTGAGGAATTGGCACCGTCGCTGGCAAAGGAAATGGCTGCAGAAGGCTGCTCTCTAACATCTCTACATTTTGAGAAGTCTCAAAATTCATGGGAAGGTTCCCTAAGCTGTGAACATAATCCTTCTCCTTATATTTGTCATTAAAAGATGTAACACCGTCCCCAAATGTACTCATCTTTAAGCGAATAATTTATTGAATCCTAGGAAATTTTTAGTGAATTTACGAGGTTGTGAATTTGTATTAATTTTTTTCGCGTGAATAGTAAAATGCACGTGCGGCCCACATCGGGAGTGGGGACCGCCCGATATTATCAGGACCACATATTATATTCGTCTGGGTCTAGAAAATATTTATAGATGGTGGATACTTCATTTGGGCCATGGAAAGGCCCAGAGTTGACCGACTGGTCAATAGAGGCCCAAATACCGGTATCGATAAATTTATCAGATAAAAGCCCGAAATTGGATTTTGGAGACTTATAAATTAAAATTTGGGGAATGCATATTCATTCTAAATGGTATAATGATTAAGAACACGTAATATATTTATTTAACCCGATAAAATAAAACAGATCTAAAAACAGTCCGGAAAATACAACTTTCGGGGCAAATTGTACACTTTGGGACAAATTAGGATGACCTCCCACATGGGTGGGGGCCACCCCACGAATTTGTCAACCCTTGAGGGCTGGATGAGTGCCAAGTTGGCTGAATAACAATTGAGAGGATGGGGGAGACACCCTTGACATGTAGTAGACCCCCTCCCTTCACTCATTTGTCTAAATGAGACAAAAACCACCCATCTCACCTCACCACCTCCACCCACACGATTCAGCACCCTAGGATAGCAAGGAGGGGCTCTGAAACTCCTCATTTTCACACCCAAATTCGAGCTCAAGATAGAGGATCCAAAGAGGAGTGCTTGGAGAAGGAAAAAGGTGTAGGAAAGTGTGGAAAATTGAGGTAATCACCTTGCCATAGCTTTCCCTTTATTCTTCTTCTACCATGAGGCATATTTATTATATGAAGAACCCTTGGGATGGTTCTCCATGCTCTAAGTATGGATTTATGGGTTGGAAAGTGGTTCTATGTCCAAGAACGGACTTAGAAGCCAAACCGACCGGTTTGCCGGAAAATAACCTTTTATAGGTTATTTGTGTTGATATGGGTTTTGTGATGATAAAACCTTGTTAGGAACTTGATTTAAAGTATTTTTGAGCTTCGCCGGAGTTTCGTCGGAGTTGGTCAAAGTTCGCCGGAGTTGGTCAAAGTTCGCCGGAGTTGGTCAAAGTTCGCCGGAGTTGGTCAAAGTTCAATCGAGGAACGTAGAACGCGCTTAAGCTTAATTAAGGTGAGGATGACCGACTATGTTGCTTATAATCTTTGGGTTAATCTCATGGGATTTCCTAAGTGAATATAAATGTGATGTGCATGGGTTGTTAATGGTTAATAATGCCTAAATAAAAACTACTATTGATTATAAGTATAGTATGCATGATATACAAATTTATGAATAAATTATGTATGTTTAGATATTATGAATATGAGTGTATGATGGTTGTATCAACCATGAATTTCATTTGAGATAGTATACTTTGATACCATGAGGTGAAGCCATGAAAGTATAAAGTGATATTTGATATTAAGGCCAATCATGCATGAAAGAAGAATTATATTGAAATAAATAAATAACTAGCATTGAAATATTAGTTAGAAATGTTAGCTGAGAAATGGATGAATTAGATCCTAAGAATTTGAATTATAAAGAATCGGTGATTTTGAGCCGGGCTCGGGACCGATGTAGATAACGGTGATTATGAGCTGGGCTCTAGACCATGGTAGATGACGGTGATTATGAGCTGGGCTCTAGACCGTGGTAGATGACGGTGATTATGAGCTGGGCTCTAGACCGTGGTAGATGACGGTGATTATGAGCTGGGCTCTAGACCGTGGTAGATGACGGTGATTATGAGCGGGGCTCTAGATCGTAGTAGATAACGGTGATTATGAGTTGGGCTCTAGACCGTAGTAAATAGTGATGAATTGATACTAAATGAACGGATTAACTATAATGTAATAATGCTCTAGATTGAGGGCCTCAGAGATTTAAACTTCGATTATACTTAGTATAGTTGTCATTGTACTTGTCAAATGCTTCCAAGTACTGACCTCCCCTTCACGGGGGAGGCCACCTCACAGTTTCAGGTAGAACTTGAAGGTTGCTACCACCAGCCGCTGTTTCGGGAAGTTTCTGAGAAGAAGACTTGGTTCGTGCTTCTTCCGTTCTGATTTCAAAACAATTATAATAATGCTCATGGATATTATTTGAATAACTATTTGGGGCTTGCATGCCCATGTTTGCCAAAGTGTGGCTAAGACACTTTTATTAAATGCTTCCGCTGTTTTAAATGAATGATTTACATTATGTTTGTTTATAGGATGTACTATGTGTGAATGATATTCATGACGCCTTGTATAGTATGGATGAGTTGGACTGCGGTTGGCTATTCGTACTGTACGGCGGGTTGTTGACGTGTCTGGCTAGGTCCGGGGCGTGACAGAAGAAGTCTCCGTGAAGCTGACATCTTCGTGGAGACTTCTTCTAACAACAAGTGATGTTGTTCGATAGTGTTAGAAAATAGAAGAGGTTGTTGGTTGTATGAGTAGAATAAGTGATTTTAATGATGTGTAATGTAGATGATGTGTTTTAGAGGAGAGCTCTTGTCTCTAGAAAAGTAGTATTGTATTGATGTTTATTGGTTTTGCTTCGTATGCAAATGAGTACAATGAGTCCTAATTATAGGAGCTAGAGGATCATTCTAGATCCTTATTAAATGCTATGATTCTAGAGTATTCTACATCTATGTCTAATTACTCTAGATTTTACATAAGAATTCTCTAGTAGAGAATTTTCTAGAATACTTTCTAACTTTAACTCTCTAGATCATCTCTAGCCTTTTCTACATAGAATATTCTAGATAAATGCATCACTATTTAATACTCCTCCTTGATGCATTTGTCGGTGACTCCAAGCATTCTTCGCAGAAACTGGAATCTGTCTCTTGGCAGGGCCTTCGTGAAAATATCTGCCAATTATTCTTTTGTTGGGCAGTACTTCATCTCAATATGCCCTTTTGCTTGGAAATCTCTCAAGAAGTGATACTTGATATCGATGTGCTTAGTACGATTGTGCTGAATTGGATTTTAGCCATCGCAATAGCTGATTTGTTGTCGCAAAATATTTGAGTCGCAGAACTTTGCAATTCTCCCATGTCTTCTAATATTCTTTTTAGCCATATAGCTTGGCACGTTGCTCCGGCTGCTGCAACATACTCGGCTTCGGCTGAAGATAGTGCAACAGAATCTTGCTTCTTTGATCCCCATGAGAAAATTCCCGAACCCAGCTTAAATGCGTAACCGGAGGTGCTTTTCATGTCATCTTGAGATCCAGCCCAATCACTGTCGTTATATCCAGTTAGTCATGAGTCAGGAGTTGTTTTGTACCAAATACCATAATTGATGGTTCCTTGTAGATACCTAAGGAGTCTCTTTGCCGCTCCATAATGAGTCTCAGTTGGACTTTCCATGAACCTCGAGAGCAAACTTGTAGCATACATGATGTCCGGCCTCGTAGCCGTTAAGTAGAGTAGACTCCCAATCAAACTTCGGTAATTGGTTGCGTCCGTCTGCTTTGACCCATCTTCTTTCTTCAATTTTTCATTAGGAACCAGTGGAGTAACGACGGCTTTGCAGTCTTGCATTTTAAACTTCTTTAGCATGTCCTTAATATATTTTTCTTGAGATAAGAATATGTCTTCTTCTTCTTGACTTATCTCCATGCTAAGGAAATAGTGCATTAATCCCAAGTCACTCATCTCAAAAGTGTTCATCATGTCTCTCTTAAATTCTTCAATTAATTTGGAATTATTTCCCGTGACAATTAAGTCATCAATACATAGAGAGACGATGAGAATGTCAGATTTACCTTGAGATTTGATGTATAGTGTAGCCTCGTTCTTACTCCTCTTGAACCCTTGACGGGTGAAGTATCCATCAATCTTGCTATACCACGCTCGTGGAGCTTGTTTGAGCCCGTAAAGCGCTTTCTTTAGACGAAGAACTTTTTCTTCTTCTTTGATGAATCCTTCTGGTTGCTCCACATACACTTCTTCTCGTAGCTCTCCATTTAGAAAGACTGACGTGACGTCTAGCTGATAAATTTTCCAATTCTTCTGAGCTGCAAGAGCTATGAGTGTTCTTATTGTGTCCATCCGGGCAACTGGTGCAAACGTCTCTGTGTAGTCAACTCCCGGTATTTGAGCATACCCCTTTGCAACCAGCCTTGCCTTATGCTTCTGAATTGAGACATCGGGGTTCAGTTTTGTTTTATACACCCATTTTGACTCCAATAACCTCCTTGTTATGGGGAAGATCTACCATTTCCCAAGTATCATTCTTTTCTATCATTTTGATCTCCTCCTCCATTGCTTTAATCCAAACTTTTTCTTTGGAGGCTTCGGTGTAGCTATATGGCTCCAAGGAGCAAAAGTTGCATGTTTCATAGATGTCAGTAGACTCATATAGGTCTGCTAGAGTTCTTACCCGAAGAGGTGGGGACTCTTGTGAGGAGTCGTGATTTCTTGATGTATTAGCTTCAAAAGAGGATCTTGGAGTAGACGTGGGGCTTTGTTGATCGTGATTTTCCTCTTCTGGTATTTCCTCTAGTTGGACAGTAGTTGTCTTTCTTTCAACTTTTTCTGTTTCCAATTCCAAGAGGCTTGCTCGTCAAACTCCACATCTCGACTTGTCACCAACTTCTTTGTCTCGAGATTGTAGATTCGATATCCCTTGGATTTGGAGCTATAGCCAAGGAAGATTCCCTTCTCTGTCTTGTCTTCTAATTTGTGCCTTTTAACATAGGGAACATGAATGTAGCATATGCTTCCGAAGACCTTCAAATGTTTGGCTGAAGGCTTTTGTCCCGACCATGCCTCTATAGGTGTTTTGTTTAAAACCGCCTTAGTTGGACACCCGGTTTAGAAGATAGACTGAAGTATATACTGCCTCTTCCCAGAACGTTTTAGGCATT